CCGAGAACATGGATTAGATTTGGGAGTAAGAGGTAAAATTTAAGGTCCGAGAGTATGGATAGTCTCGTTGTGAGGATTGACGGGGTGGGGTAAGAGTTGATTATAAATATGGGGAAATTGTATATTTTGTGAGTTCTAAATTATATATATATATATATATATATATATATATATATATATATATATATGATATAACATTGTGGGATTGAAATCCCTATGTACTCACCAGGTTTCCCAACCTGACCCACTCAAGCTTATTTGTATCACAGGTGTCGATATGAAGTTACATTACACTGAGAGATTAAAGAGATATAGATCACTAGTGTAAATAAATGTAAGTTCTGTTTATGCTTATGTTTCTGTATTGATGATGACATCCCAAATGTTTTAAAATGAATAAAATACATTTCTTAGAAAAGCTTTGATAACGTATTTATCATGTTTTTCTGGGAACAAAATCCGCAAAACTTTTCTTTAAAATGTTACTCTGATTTTCAAAATAAAGCATAAACAAATCGGTCTTTTTTGGCCATGAAAATGGGGATGTCACATCTTTGATAAGGAATCTATGTTGATTAGGTTTTTGAGAAGTGTACACCCGAGATTCAACCATGTGTCCATAGTTGTAAGACATTCTAAGAACTTGAAGACTATGTCACTTCAGTCTCTCTATGGGTCTTTGTTGGCCCATGAGCACAAAATAAACACCATCATATGATGAAGTATGTGCTTTTCAACAAGAGTTATCATAGTTTCCTTAATTAATTAATAATTATCAAATGTTTATTTTAAATAAATGGGTATGTGTCATTTGGGCTACATACAAAAGTAGAATGTCTTATGGATATACCTCTTATGATGATAAAGAGGGTATTCGCGTCTTTTCCACAGACGAGACGTCAATAACTAGTGTATGTCCCATGTTGTACCATCATTCTGGGTGGAACAAAAAAGTTGCAGTTTTTGTTCTATTGACATCATACCACCTGGTCTGAATCTAATGCAGGTCAAACATAATACAAGACTGTCATTTTATGTTATGTATTATTATGTTATAAGTGGGGGTTCAAAAAGGTTTTATGTTTCTAGATGTATGAAAACTTGTGATATGAGTTGTCATTTTTTGGCTTAATGTCTTTCTTTGTGGGCTATATAGGTTAGGAGGCAATGAGACAAAGATTCATCAAAAAAATTGTGATGTATTATGCAAAAACATCAAGAACTCGAGCATATTTTTGTTTATCATGATTGGTATATGAATATAATATGAAATTCATAGCCAATCTTGTATGGGTGTTATCTTCATTGCATATTTGTTATGGGCATGATATGATCTTTTGAAAAAGAACATTTTTTTAGGCACGAAGATTCTTATTGTTTTTCAATAGTTGTTTTACAATATACTCCTCAAAAAGATAATATTTGGTGCTTGGAAGACTTTTCCACCTTAAATGGAGGATCAACAATTGACTACAAAGAATCTAATGAATGGTAGTGGGAGGATGGGTGTCCGTGTCCCTTTAGTCTTTATACCTTTCTTACACAACAAAATGGTGGGAATTGATATAATTAATCAATTAAATTATTAAAACTGATCAAATTTTCATTACGTACATACATACTAGTCGTGAGAATGATGATCACCATATTTTGATATTCTCTCCACATTTTTTTTAAATAGTGGATTTGTAAAACAGATCACTTAACTTGTTAAGAATTATTATTTTAACTCTCTCTCTCTCTCACATAACATGAGTGTATTACAGGCTAAAGTAAATGAATCCCTTGTTTTTAGAAATTTTGACTGGTTTATTTTTTGAAGTTAATAAAATTGTATAATAAACAATTTGTGTTTGATTGCTCCTTGAAAAGTTACTTATGATTCGATGACCGATCAATAGTTGGGGCACACATCATGGAAGAGTTGTGTCACTTACAAGAGATACGATTGGTTTTTTAATATTAACAATGGTTTGACTATAAAGAAAATGTTTTTTTGGGGTAATTACTAATCTAGCCAAATTAAGGAATTAATTAATCATTTTTAGCCAAAAATTAGGAATTGTCCCAAAATAGCCCACGAAACCGTAGGTATTTACAATCGTCTACTGTTTCGCTAATTCGTCTACTGTTTCGTGTTTAGTATAAAAAAAATTCATTTTGAAGATATAAAAGCTATGGTTTTTTTAAAACCTACGGTTTTCTCTCTATAAAATACGGTTTTCCGAACCGTAGCCTACGATTTTGGGTTAAAATCTACGTTTTTTTTAATGAAAATTACGGTTTTGGGTTGAAGTCTACGGTTTTGGGTTAAAAAACTACTTTTTTTAATAGAGTATTTTTTTGAGAATTATTTTGATTAAAAATATTGTTTGTAAAATGTAGAGTAATTTTTTGACAATTATTTTGTTAAATTTTTTTTTTTGTAAAATATAAAATAGTTTTTTAATAATTATTTTAATAAAATAATTTTTTGCTAAAATGTAGATTACTTTTTTGAATTTGTTGACTATTTTTTTAGTAAATTTGACTACTTTTTTGCTAAAATTTACTACTTTTTTGCTAAATTTGACTACTTTTTATTGTTAAACTTGACTACTATTTCTTCAATTGTCTACTATTTTCTCTCAATTGAGCACCCGAAGAACAACGTGGTACGTCCATTTTGAATCAAAATCTTACCGTATTGTTGATTAGGAGTAGTTTTTGTATATGGGGATAACTTTTTTTTGAAAAAAAACCGAAAAAAAAATTAAAACCATAGGTTTCTTACGAAACCTACGATTTAATTTTTTTTTTCGGTTTTTTTCAAAAAAAAAAAGTTATCCCCATATACAAAAACTACTCCTAATCAACAATACGGTAGAATTTTGATTAAAAATGGACGTACCTTGTTGTTCTTCGGGTGCTACATTGAGAGAAAATAGTAGACAATGGAAGAAAAAATAAGGAAAAAGTAACTTAAACTGAAAAATAAAACATTATATACTATGGGTCAATGGGCCACAAAACAGTAGACAGGCCACGAACATTGTGACGAAAGAGTAGTTTTCGAAGGTTGACCGTAGTCAACCCTAATCTATCTACTATTTTGTGGGCTAGTTTTGCTAATGTGTTTTTTTGGCTAATTTTGGATAGGTAATTAGTGTATTTTGCTAAATTAGTATTTTCCCCATGCTTTTTTTATTAAAAAAAAGATTAATTATTTACTTTTTATAAACATAACTAAAATCTTAATTCCATTTATATGAGCAGTTGTAACCGTTTTCGTAGAAGACTCTTGTAGATTGATTTATTATAAATGGGATATATATATATAACCACCATCTTTCACCTATGCCCCTTTCCTATCATCACATGCCCTAATTTACAATATATATATATATATATATATATATATATATATATATATATATATATATTGTAAATTAGGGCATGTGATGATAGGAAAGGGGCATAGGTGAAAGATGGTGGTAACCATAATCAAGTTTACTTGTACTTACCCAGAAAAGAGGTAAGGAGGAATAAAATGAAATGAATAAAGAAGAATATGTCCCGTGCACTTTCTGGTTGTAGCAATAATTGCAATAGAGACCTTTTCTATTATTGTCACAATGAAGTACTCATTCACTTTAATGGTGTAGAAAACACTATGGTCGACATTTGACACCCAATTTTTTCAATTTTTATAATCTACATATATCTTATTATTACATTAAGAAAAACACGAGATGAGTTAATAAATTTCTAACAGAACTTTTCATTGTTATTACTTCGATAAAAAAAACATAACAATTGTAAGTAAGAAGTAAATCTTGAAAATAAGCACTTTTTATGCACAATGCTCAAATTCATAATATAAGATATAGTATCGATAAGGGGCTCGAAGGAGTTGCAATATATAAATATATAACAGAGGTCTGAAGTTCAGATATCTGATATGTCCAAAATATTGTTAGTTTTTCGCTATGTATACATATGTCATGAGGTGGATATGGACCGACAGAAGATACAGTTTACCATGTTTTTATATAAAATACAAACTAATATGTAGTTTTTCACTTTTCTTCACTAGTAAATGTGAGTGTATATATAAATTTGTTTGTAAAAGAAAGATCGTGTGTTACAATATATGTATTTATGATTAAATGTTTTTTGTTACACAAGTTTAAAAATTGTTGATATATTTATCATTTTTTAAATATGAATATAAATGGTTATTGCATAAAAATTTTAGTAATAATCACTCAAATCATAATAGGCACAATTGTGTCTCCTAATAACATGTTTACAACATGTACATTGATTATTTGTTGTTATAAATGCATGCAATAAACTATTCACCAAGTCTTTTATTGCTTCGTACTATCTTCCTTTGGTACTATCTTCCTTCAGTAAACATTAAAGTTTATAAATATCATTATGTCTCTTCAATTACAAATTATATTTTAAGACATGTAATTTTCTATGCTTTGATGTGTGATACAAAAAGTTGAATGCATTAAGACATGTATTTATGTTTTTTAATCCAAAATGCATGTTTTGAAATGTCATTTGAGTGCTTACCACACAATTTTACACAACATGGATTTTTTTCATGTTCAAATCGGATCACATTTTATTGTTGGTTGACTCTTTACAATTTATCTTCTATACGATAACCGTTAGTGTTTTAGAATTAATCTTCTACACGCTTAAGACAAATGTGACATGTGTCTATACAAATTATCTTTTTGGAGAGCCGAAGATAATCTAATAATATTAATTTATTTCGTTTAATCTTTCCAAAAGTCATTCTAAAGAATTTAATGTTCAAATCTCTATCAAATGCCATTTAGTTATATATAAAGACTTTACATAATATCCCTATATTTATAAGTAAAAGTATTTGGTTAGTTATATATAAAGACTTTACATAGTATCCCTATATTTATAAGTAAAAGTATTTGGTTAGTTATATATAAAGACTTTACATAGTATCCCTATATTTATAAGTAAAAGTATTTGGTTGTTTTATGGGATTGAGATTGAGATTGGGAGAATTTTTCCTAATAACTTTTGCCGCGTAGTATGCCTGTGGTACGCACTTTTTTGCCTCTTTGGAGGTTAACGCAAATCTAGAACAACCAGATTTCGGTGCCCCAATTTCAGAGAGAAGTACAACACCAAAATTGTGGCAAAATCTCAATCTCCCCTCAATTTTACTCAACTCTCTGCTCTCTCGCTCGTTTTAGGTATCAAAAAGGTAAGCCCTTTTGATCAATTTCTTGAAATCCACCTTGTTTTTCCTGTAATCATGTGTTTATAAGATTCGTTTCTTAATAGTTCTTGAGGTATTATGTCAGAAGAGTTATTTCGTATCTATCTACGATGTTCTTGTTTGTTTGGTTGTGTAGTCGTGTTTTGATTTAGTCTTGGATTGTGATTTAAAGGTCATGTATGGCTTCGTCTTATACTTCGTTAGGGTTTACGATTAGGGTGCCGAGTTCGGAGCGATTATAATCTGTACGGATTTTCATCTTATCAAAACTGAAACCATTTGATTTTGTTGATATATGACAGGCGATTTATCAAGAAGAGCGAAGGGTTAGGTCATACTGTATTGTTTTCGAATGGGGAAAGGTACGAAAAGCAAGTCTGGGTCTCACCAGATATTCAAAGACAGAGCTAAGAACCGCGTGGAGGACCTCCATGGAATGTTTACAGATCTGCAGTCAGCAAGGAAGGAGAGCCGAAGCATTGATGTTGCTGTTCTCGAAGAACAAGTTAATCAGATGCTCAAAGAATGGAAGAATGAACTCAACGAACCTTCCCCTGCTTCATCTTTACAACAGGTTTGTCATATTCTTGTTTAAAGTTAAAAACACACATGTTCTTCTTCATAGTATCTATGGTAGGAAGGTAGTAATTTTCTTTTGATTTTTGAAACAGGGTGCAAGTGTAGGACCCTACTCCCCTGACATAAGTAGACTTTTGCAGCTATGCGATGAAGAAGATGATGCAACCAGTGGGTTAGCTGCCCCAAAACCTGATCCAGATAATGGGTTGCAGGGTTTTACTGTTAATCACACAACTCAAGAACAAAGCTTCCAGTTACTTGATCAATGCAAAGGTTCTCCTTCAGGTGTTAACAATACAGATGTCACCAATCAATTGGATTACTTTTCATTTGATTTACCCCATGATTTTGAACAAAACTTCTTTACTGGAATTGATGGCATGGGACCATGTGCAAGGGGAGAAGACACATCATCACCTCAAATAACCACCTTTCTTCCTACTTTATCCCCTCCCCCTTCTGCTTTCTTGGGACCAAAGTGTGCCCTTTGGGATTGTCCAAGACCTGCACAAGGCTGGTGTTCTGATAGGCCTGTTCAAGGTTGGTTTCCTGACTATTGCAGCAGCTTGCATGCTGCAATTGCTCAAAATGAAGGCCGATTTGGGATGACACCTGTCATACGCCCTAAAGGTATTGAATTGAAAGACACTTTACTTTTTGCTGCCCTTAGTGCAAAAACACAGGGGAAAGATGTTGGAGTTCCTGAATGTGAAGGAGCTGCCACTGCAAAATCCCCATGGAATGCCCCTGGTTAGTTTACTACTTTACATTCCATTGCATTCTTTTGTCATTCCATTCCATCCAACGATTTTTTTTTTTTTTTCAGAGCTGTTTGATCTTTCGGTTTTTGAGGGGGAAACAATACGTGAGTGGCTGTTCTTTGATAAGCCAAGAAGGGCATTTGAGAGTGGAAACAGAAAACAAAGATCACTCCCTGATTACAACGGGCGTGGTTGGCATGAATCAAGAAAACAAGTGATTAATGAATCTGGATGGCTAAAAAGGTCATATTACATGGACCCACAGCCCATGAAGTTTCTTGAATGGCATTTATACGAGTATGAAATCAGCAAATGTGATGTGTGTGCTTTGTATAGACTGGAATTGAAGCTTGTTGATGGGAAGAAAAGTCCAAAGGGAAAGATTGCAAATGATTCACTTGCTGATCTTCAAAAGCAAATGGGAAGACTTACTGCTGAGTTTCCATTGGATAATAGTTATAATAATAATAAAAGGTCTGTTAAAGGAAGGGGAAAGGGGAATTTGAAAGACAAGAATGGAGGTGCAACTGTGTATCCAATGGTGGCAAGTGATGATGGTGCACCATTTAACTATCTTGTTGATGATGTTGGTGGGTATTACTTAACATAAATTTTGGTCAAAATTTTGGTCAAAGTGGTGTTTTGTGTTTAATGGTATAAGGTCAAAGTCAAAGATTAGTGGATTGTGAAATGTGCTTGATTTTTATGGGGGAGCACTATTCTAACTGTTGGGGAGATGGTATATAAAAACAGAAGATGGCTGTTGCTGCTGCTGCTTACTTTTGTTTTACTTGGACCAGGTTTTGGTATTATGATGATAAATGACACTAAAATATATATATATATATATATATATATATATATATATATATATATATGTGTGAATTGTGAAGATTTTGATGCTAATCGACTAGAGAGCACTATCTTGGTGCTGAAAAGTTAGCAGATATCTGTAACTTGTGGTCAGTTGGTATATATGAATTGCTGTTTTTCTGGTAGATTTTTTTTTCAACTTATAAATGAAATATATATGGAGTTTGCTTTTGAAACTTCATTGCTGTTTAAGTGTTGTTGGACCTGTAATGTGAGAAAGTTTCCTATATGGATCGTTACGGACCAATAGAGTAGTAGGAGGGCCAAAGTGAAAATATGGGAACTAAAATCATATAATTGATTAGATTTTAAACAAGTGTATTTAAGGATGTTTAAAGCCCATTAGGGGTTTCTTTAGATGGAATCCATCCAAAAGAGGGAGGAGTAAGAAGGAATAGAAATCATGTAGGGACTAGGGTTTTGTGAAGATGTGGATTGAAGGTGCAACCACGTGAAGGGGACTCCAAGCATACATGCATGCATTAGGAATGTATGGGTGTTTTTGGTAAGATACAATATGTCACAACCATAAATTTTTTGTTGGTAATTGTTTTTGTTAAAAGTGATGCCTTCCAAAGCAATTTTGATGTGTTTTGGAATAAATTCATCGACTTAAGAGGGTGTTGAGGGTGCCAAAAAAGTTCAAATATGTGTGCAAAATAGCAATCAGATCCAAGGATCATAGTAGGGGTCGAAAGAGGTCAAAACAAGGAGGAAAACCCATATGAGCAATGCCGGTGCCAATGTTATTCACCACTAGCGTGAGGTGTCTCTGATAGCTAACTGACATCGAGCTAGACTTTAATGTTGATCATTGCAGATTTAGGAAAACATAAAACCTAAAACTTTTAGGAAACCGAGACATCTTTTCATAGTAACTTGAACCAGCCCATTAGGAGCTATGGTGAGCGAGTTATGGTCGAAAGACTAACAAGGGGTGAAAAAAGACGACTAAAAACATATAAGATTTTTGATGGGTGTTTCGAACATCACCACAACAAACCTAAGAGGCTTGTGTGACATGTAAGAGTAAACTTATAATAAAGACTAAGGTGAGCATGTAGTCTTTTCTAGGCTTGGACATGTAAGAGTGAAGTTATATAATAAAGGCTAAGATGAGCATGTAGGTTTTTCTCGGTACACAATATGACTACTCATTACTTGATGATGGGTACACGTCTTGATGACTGGTTGATGACATCATTGCCAAATATATTGAAATAATTTTATAATTTTGGAATTGGACTGAATTCGCTCGCTCACTATATGGGCCGAATATCAAACTTGAATGTGCCACCATGATGGCATGTGTTTTTCAGTAATCCGGGATATCTTAGGGACTTAATGAGTGTTTTTCTGTTTTTATGATGTTCTAGAATCTTCAATTTTGTTTGATTTACTTATAGAAACTGATTTAATTAAACAGTAGAATGCTTACTATTTAGATTAACAGGGCCAAATTCGAGATGACAAATCTCCTCAATTACAAGAACACAAATTACTTATTATCTGACTGAAAACTGAAAAACATCAACTACAGGTTTATTACAGAAAAGATAACTGCTCCTAACTTATTGGATCATAAATGTTCCTTCTCTTTTAACTGTTATGTGGTTGACCTAAAGGATCCAACTGAATTCCAAAAGGGCATTAAACTGCTCTTGCTCCTGCCTCTTAACTCGTGACTTCTTTATTGTATACACTTGTAGGTTCTTATCATTATTTCCCCCTCGGTAAAACGACTTGTCCTCAAGTCGAAAATAAGGAAATTGCTCAACAAATAGATCGTAAGATTCCCAAGAAGCTTCTTCCATAGGACGATTAGCCCAAGAAACCACTAATTCAAGTATAACTTGGCCTGCTTCATGCACCCATCGATAATCAACAATTGAAGCAAGTTGAACATCAAATTCCCAATCCTTTGTGATAGGCAAAGGAGCAATACAGGTTGGAGAAAAAGACCTTGGAACTGGTTTGAGCATAGAAACATGAAACACAGGATGTATTTTCGCATCCGAAGGTAATTAAAGCTCATAAGCCACTGGCCCAATGACACGTTTAATCCGATAAGGACCAAAGAATCGGGGAGATAGTTTTTCAAAACGACGTTTAGCTAAGTTGTGTTGTCGGTAAGGTTGAATCTTTAAGAATGCATAATCCCCAACCTGAAAATTAACTTCACGTCGTTTGGTATTGGCTTGATTACGCATTCTATCTTGAGCTTTCGTAAGATTGAGACGTAACAATTGCAACATATGATCACGATCAACTAATTGTTGTTCCAATTCTGCATTTTTGGTTTCGCCCATTACATAAAGCAAAAGGAGAGGAGGATCGCGACCATACACAATGGAAAAAGGAGGTGTGCCTGTGGAAGTATGGTACCCAGTATTATAAGAGTATTCAACCCATGTTATATATGAACTCCATTTAGTTGGTTGTTCATGGGCGAAACAACGCAAGTAAGCCTCGAGACACCGATTGAGAACTTCTGTTTGACCATTCATTTGAGGATGGTAACTGGTACTCAATTGCAATTTGGTTTGACTCAAACGAAAGAGTTCCTGCCAAAAAGTGCTCAAGAAAATAACATCACTGTACGAAGTAATGGAACGAGGAAAACCGTGTAGACGAACAATTTCCTTACAAAAAAGGACAGCAACACTTTTTGCTGTAAAGGGGTGAGACAAACTCAAAAAATGGTCGTATTTGCTTAAGCGATCAACTACCACCAAAATAGTATCAAACTTGTTGGATGGGGGTAACCCCAAGGGCGGAGCCACCCTAGGACTAGGGTAGGCCCAGGCCCACCCTCAAATTTCCATTTTTTTTTTTTTTTGAAATACGATAATAGTTGGGTGTAAGTTATTCTAAAAACATATGTATAATATTATATCCTTAAACACTATCAGTTCCAAGCCTTACATTTTGGGCATGTTTTTTTTAAATAATTCATTTTTAAAGTTACATTTTGGCCCCTTATATTTAGAAGTTAAATTTCTATAGTAAGTTAGTTTTTAAAATTTACATATTTCACACCTTAAATTTTATAAATTTACATAATTCCATTCTTAGATAAGTTTATTTATTTTTTGGTCTTTCTTTTTCAGATTTATTTTTACTTATATATAAAAAATTGTATTTAAGGGGCTATTTTATTTTTCGCATAAAACCTTAAAAATCATACATACATATATATATATATATATATATATATATATATATATATATATATATATATATATATATATATATATATATATATATATATATATATATATATATATATATATAAGGAACACCCTAAAAAAAATTTTGGCTCCGCCCCTGGGTAACCCCACAACAAAATCCATTCAAATGTCCTCCCAAATTTGAACTGGAATTGGTAAAGGTTGGAGGAGACCAGCTGGGAAAGTGTTTGGTATTTTTGCTGCTAGCATACAAGGAAATTTTGCACGAATACCTTGACTTCCTGTTTCATTTTTGGCCAAAAGAACCGGAGGGATAATCGTTTAAGGGTTTTTAAAAAACCGCCATGTCCTCTAACTGGTGAATCATGACACTCTTGAATTAAACTAAGTTTAAGATCAGGTATGTCTGGAATAACCATCCTTCCTTTGAAAAACAAAAGCTGCTCATGCGAAGAGAAATCAGGAACTAAAGAAGGATTTGTATGGAGCTGTTGGAGAATGTCAATTGTATAAGGATCTTGGTGAATGCCTTTTTTAACATCAGCGAGTTCGACACAATAGGGTACAGAAAGAGTGAACACTTCACCTGAATGGGGTCGTCGAGAGAGTGCATTCGCTCCCTTGTTCTCTTTTCCAACCCTATGAGTTATAGAAAAATCATAGGGCATCAATTTAAGTAAAAGTCTCTATTATTCAGTTGTCGTGATGCGTTGTTCCAACAAAAATTTCAAAGTGTAATGATCGGTACGAATAAGAAAGTGACGACCCAATAAATAGTGATTCCATTTCTGAACAGCAAGAACAAGACCTAACAATTCTCGATCATATGCTGACTTAAATCGATTGGAGGGAGAAAATCCTTTGCTAAAGTAAGCAATAGGATGCTCCTCTTGAGAAAGAATAGCACCAATTCCAGCTGAAGAAGCATCGCATTCAACTATAAATGTCTTGGAAAAAATCTGGTAACCGGAGAACAGGGGCTGAAAGTAGAGCTTGTTTCAATGTGGTAAACGCTTCTAATGCCTCGTTAGACCACACAAAACCATCCTTCTTTGTAAGATTAGTCAAAGGTCGTGCAATCAAACCATAATTTCGTACAAAATGTCGGTAATAACCGGTGAGACCGAGAAAACCGCGAACTTCTTTGACATTAGAAGGGATGGGCCACGATTGTACAGCCACAATTTTCTCTTGTTCCACTTGAACACCATCCCCGGTTATGATATGCCCAAAAAAAAACTTTAGATTGTCCAAAACAACACTTTGAAAGCTTGACATAGAACTGATGATCGCGTAGTAATTTCAAAGTTTGCTCAAGATGCGAAAGATGTTGTTCCATGTTAGGGTTGTATACTAGTATATCATCAAAGAAAACTAGTATAAAACGGCGTAAATAAGGACGGAACAAGTCATTCATGATCGCCCGAAATGTGGAAGGGGTGTTAGTTAGACCAAATGGCATTACCTTAAACTCATAATGCCCAGAATGAGTACGAAAAGCTGTTTTTGGAATGTCCGGTCCATGAACTCTGATCTGATGGTAACCGGAGCGAAGGTCCAGCTTGGAAAAAACTGTAGCTCCATATAATTTGTCCAACAGTTCATCAATATTTGGAATTGGGTATTTATCAGCTATCGTTATTTTATTGAGGGCTCGATAATCTACGCACATCCTCCAAGTGTTGTCTTTTTTCTTGACAAGTAAAATCGGACTTGAAAAGGGACTGTTGCTAGGTTGAATAAAGCCCGCTGTTAACAATGCTTCCACTTGTTTTTCAATTTCAGCTTTTTGGGAATGAGGGTATCGATAATGACGAATATTTGGTGGGGTAGAATTCGGTAGTAAGGGAATATAATGGTTCTGTGAACGATTGGGAGGAAGACTTTTAGGTTCTTCAAAGACCTGATCATAACAGCTTGTCACTGACTGAAGCACTTTGGGAATTTCTCGTGGAGTAACCGGTTCAACAGCCAGGTATTGAAAACAAGAAGATTTTTGTGAGCCCGTAGTAATTCCCTGCAACTTATAAGTTTTACCATCTACCTTAAATATCATAAACATTTCTTTCCAATTTGCTTGGACTGTATTTAATGTTTCCAACCATTGAATACCCAAAACCACATCTGCTCCGCCAATCGAAAAATGATAGAAGTCCTGGACAACTTTGAGATCATTGATTTGTATTGGAAGATTTTTACACATGTGACCACATCTGATGAAATCACCATTTCCAATCTGAACACCAAACGGTGCCACTGATCGAGTATTAAGTCTCAATTCCTTAACCAGTAAATCTGAGATGAAATTATGTGTAGATCCCCCGTCAATTAAAATAATTACTTCTGTAGATTGGAGCATACCTTGAACCTTCATAGTTCTGGGATGGGGTTTTCCAAGAATGACATGTAAACTAATTTCCGCCACATCGTTCATATCTTCAACCATCTCTTCAGTTTCATTAGGAGACTGCTCTTCAAGCTTTTCTTCCACTTCCAGCACCTTGAGAGTTCCTGTTTTACATCGATTACCTGGTCCATACTTCTCACCACACCGAAAACATTCCCCTTTAAGAAATCGAGATTGCCTGTCTGCATCATAAATTCGCAGGGGTGGTTTGGTATTATTTTTGGTAAAGTTTGTTGTTGGAGTCGTATCTTTGTACTCATTTTGAGATGTTTTTGACGGTGCTGTCCAAGTAGATCCTCTCCCAAATCGGGTATGGCTGAGTTTAGATTCAAATTCTAAAGCGATACTTACCGCTTTGTATACTGTTCGTGGTTTCTGTATTTGTATATCCACCTTCAATTCTTCTTTGAGGCCATTAAGGAACACTCCTAAAAGACAATGTTCTGGCCAATTAGACACTCGTGAGGATCGTTTGGCAAACTCTTGTCGGTATTCTTGTACCGTTCCTGTTTGTTTAACACTACACAAGAATTCGTCTGGATTCTGGAACTCAGTGGGTCCAAAATTTCTTTGCAAGGCTCGAACAAAATCCTCCCAAAAATCAACCTATTGATCAGTAGATATCCAAGAATAAAAATCCAATGCATCGATGCTACATCTACCTTTTCTTCATCTGGAATGTCATAATAGCGGAAGTATTTTTCTGCTTTAAGAATCCAACCCCGTGGATCGCCTTCACTAAAGGTAGGAAAAACAATTTTGTTGTGGGGTCGGTACCTTTGATTATGCCCAGATGATTCTCCCTCATCATGTCTTCCATTACCCCATCTTTCTCTATTGTGCGATTGAGATTTGAGGGCTGCTACCTCCCTCTGCAACGAATCTATAGATTCCAACTTCTTAGCAATTGCGGCTAGTTGCACTGCTACAAGATCTGGTGGTTGATTTCCCTCTTCTGAATTGCTCCGGGTTTGCACCATGTCTTCAAGAAGTTTCCCGACAATGGAACCAAATGATAGAAACTGATTAATTTAAACAGTAGAATGCTTACTAATTTAGATTAACAGGGCCAAATTCGAGATGGCAAATCTCCTCAATTACAAGAACACAAATTACTTATTATCTGACTGAAAACTGAAAAACATCAACTACAGGTTTATTACAGAAAAGATAACTGCTCCTAACTTATTGGATCAGAACTGTTCCTTCTCTTTTAACTGTTATGTGGTTGACCCAAAGGATCCAACTGAATTCCAAAAAGGGCATTAAACACTGCCTCTTAACTCGTGACTTCTTTCTTGTATACACTTGTAGGTTCTTATCATTTACATAAGGGTAATTCTATATATACTCCCCACATTGGGGATTTTACTTTATGTACCCCATCTTTTTTTGATTGATTAGAAATATTATTCTAATTAATTTTGAATTCTAAGGTTATGTAAAAAGCTTATCTTCTTCTCCTATTTTGTTTTCTAATTTCTACGTTCTTTGGGGATTGAAGTTTGTTATCAAAGTTTCCATAATGGAATACGTTTTTGTTCGTTATGTTCATTTAATCATTCAATCAAGATCATCTAGGCATCATTTGGTATCAAAGTAAACATATTTTGAAGCTGACTATATTTCTCCTAAGCTGCTAATTGTAGAAGATATTGTGGTACATGCAATTGAAGAGGTGGTGGACATAGTGTCATGAATGAGAGAGTCGATCTACATTATCCATGTGATCTAAAGATTGAACGTCAACAATGGAGGATCCATGAACTCAAGATCTTGTAGCAATACTAGTCGGAGGGGAGAATAATACCGGAAATCGTATTCTATGGTTTTTATAAATAGGGTATTTGAATAATATAATAATATAATATATAATTAAAGCAGGCATGCACAATTGAAACACTAATAGCATTGCAGTGATTTAGATGGTCTTAAACTCAGATTAATGACAATACTCTAAAGCATACTGAGTATTTACACAGTTGTTTATTTTGCATATATATATATATATATATATATATATATATATATATATATATATATATATATATATATATATATATATATATATATATATATATATAAGATTAGGCCTCATTAACATGTTCCCAATCTACGTTCGCCTTACATTCAGTAATTACTAATTAGGTCTCAAATTCAGAAAATACCAAACCATACATCATACATAAACCTAAATGAAACCAGATTTCTCCAACCATTTTCTAAGCTTCATCATCTTCAACAGGGACCCCATCTTCATCAACAGTGTTAACACGTTCACATTCATCAATCCACTCACTATATATGTCTATTGGCTCTGTCAAAGCTGCATGCCAACAAAATAAAAGGGAAACCATTATAGCATTCTTACTTTCATTTCTTTCAGTTTTTTTTCTTACTAGGACATTCTACTTCGAAAAAATCTACCCAATTATAAAAGTGATAGTTGAGAAGTGGAAGTAAAGATGTTATTTCTTGCATTTAACCCTACCTGTGACAGTAGTGCTGAAGTTTTCCTGGCAAATCCTGCAAGATGCCTCACCAATCAAGTTCTTCATATCACTGACATCAGTGATCAAACAACCAAATGAAATATGAGTTCATTTCAATGGAACACATGGGATGTAAAAATCTGGAAAGATTATATAATGAAGCAGAAGATAGGATTTGTAGAGCAAATACTTACATGCGACATTCAACACTGGTGCCATGGTTGCAGAAAGGGCAGCTAAATACAGTGTCCAGTTTGTCCATTCGCTTCCTAGGAGCAGGCTTTGCTCTTGACTTCCTCTTCCCCATGGTGCAAGTAGCTTCCCTGAAAGCAGAATTATAATCACCAAACAAGAATCGCAGCACTAAAAAGCAGCCAGCTATATGATGAATAATGAAGTTAGAGCAAGTTTGATCTTCAACTGTTAAAATATAAGACCAGTGTCCACAGGAACATGAAAACCCCCCTTCTTTCTATACACAATATGTATGATGCAGTTTGAACTTTTAAAAATCCCAAACTTCCCCAACACGATAAGTTTTGATAGTCACCAGTCGTTACAAGAAATTGTCTCAGTAGATTTATGAAAGAATCGAACAAAAACAAAGCGATCTTTTAACAATCATATAACAAGATTCGTAGAACGCAAGAAAACTACTTTTGAAAAATCAAGCTTACTGTGAGAGATCAAGAACACCAATCTAACGTACAATCTGGGAACATAACAGCAATAACAATAATCAGAACCACGAATTGACCACAAATTGCTTTGAACAATCAAACTAATGAAGAAAAATCGAACGAAAATTGCACCTGACGAATCAACTCGTGTCGAGGGAAGAAGAATTTTGCCCTAAAACACGAATGATGATATCAGAGAAATCGGATGGAAATATACGATGATATCGGTTAGCGTTTATGATATCTAAATTACTTAAGTGGTCCTTGTGCTATTTATAAACATCCATTTACAGTCCCTCAGCTTATAATTTTACATCAATTGCTAGTAACTTTATATTTCTTTTGATATTAATGATTTTAACTTTTTGTAAATCTTTATTCTAAATCCAAAATTTCATTTTGCATTAACTTCTAATCATTCTCTTAAAGCTAATCTCATTCATCTGAAATGAGACCATTAGGTAGATCCCAATGCAAGTATGCTTGAAATTTATTGGTATATACATAGTTTTACACAACATCAACTAGTTATCCTTAATGATATTGAGTTTGTGTTTGCTTGTCCAATTCAAACTTAAGCATCATCTTCTTTGCTCTAGATACATTATGATTTACATATACCTTTAGGCACTAAGGTCGTTTAGTGAAGGAGCTCAAAAATGTCATCACCCTTTTGATCTGAATGAGATTTACTCTAATAAATGAATATTTTTTTTGCCACATGTCTTACTCACATTTAATTTGTCAAATGTCATTTTGATTTTTTTTTCCACATGTCATTTTATGGGTTTTCTTATTTTATTAAATTTTACATAATATTTTAATATAATAATTACAATAAATATAGTAATAAAAGGATATCAATTTCATAATTAATGGACCTACCTTCTGATTTTAAAATTCCAAAATTAAAGCTCATTAGTTTTTTTTGTTTATATATTTAAATTATTATTTGTTTAAATTTAAAAGATAAAAAAAATATATCAATTTTAATAATTCATTATTTTTCTTATTTTCTTATAAAATTCATAGTTTTCAACCTTTATATTAATTTTTTTTTAAATTAACTCATATAATACATGGTCTCACAGTTAGTTGAGATATATAATGAACTGTAACACAATTTATCGATATAATGCTTCTTTATCTTGTGTTTTCTTAATTCTTTTAAACCAATGAAAAAAAGTATTATGATATATTTATTGGGGACAAAAAATCTCAACTATAACCGTGAATTGAATTATGCATTCCCTAGCGTGATTTTTTACTAAACAAGTAGGTTTTTTTTTTAAAAAAAAAAAATACCATTTGACAGTTATTTTACATGCGCATCATTGTACACAAGACTTATATTTAATATATTTAAAATGTTACTTTTTAGCTATAAGGGTAAATTGCATTTCTGTATGGACTCTTATTGGTCTTAATATTATTACCAAGGTTCTAAATAACGTTAGACATGATTTGGCGGCAACGTCAGACCTCAAGTTTTTCCAAGCCTTGGCGAGCCACGTAGTTTGTAAAGCGTAACTTAAGACGGCAATTTTGTATATAATTAATATTTTTATATGTATTTTCAACTATTATTCATTTTTATATACATATATGAGTTAAGGCGGTATTTTGGTAAAGCTTGATGGCAGGTACAAGCCTTGGAGCCATGACGAACTTTTTAGAACCTTGATTATTACTCAACTTAAATTGTCGGGAAAGTAGGTTATGTGCCCGCTTTAGATCCAAAAGCAAAGTTGAATTATAGATCTAAGTTGTAAAAGATATTATATATGGATTTATCTACTCCTACATGATAGCTTCATTTTGATATGATATGCATACCAAATGGAGTTCCATGAATGATATATTGATTATCAAAATATTATGCTTGAAATGTATGTAGGGAAAGTTGAAGATTTGTCCTACGTAAAAATTGATGACAACTTGGACCACTTAATGTACGGTGGTAATATATTAGCAGTCTTTGGTAGGGACATCCACAATGCATTGAATTCCGTAGAGTTTAATAGATTGTCACGTCATTTTTTATGCTACATACAACTCTATCATTTTTCCTAAAATACATTGAACTCTACAAAGTTCAATAGAAAGTTACAAAAACTAATTTATAGTATATATTTAAGATTATAAAACTTTTCTTTTTCCCATTGAAGAGTTCAATAGCCATTGAACTCCAAATCCATTGAATACCAATATGGCATCTCGCTATGGTAGAGTTTCATCAATTGATCGACAACTAGACATGCCACGTCATTAAACACTCTCATTGAACTTACCATTGTGGATGCTCTAATGCATATAAAGGCCAACAACAGTCACCAAAAAACATCACATGCTTATTTTGTTAAGTTTTTTTTATTGGATCGATAACATCTAAAGGTTTTATTATATGGATTTATGTACACACTAATGACTTTCATGCGACATCTAAAAAATTGAATTATATGTATTGATTCCATTTATGAATAAAATAAATGTTTTATTTTTATAATAGATTTTACACTTAAAGTGAAAAAGAGGGACTAAAATGTTTTTATCCCAACAATATCAAGGTCGTGAAAAGGCTGAAAGTTCAAGTTTTGTTGTGAACAAAAAAAATTTAGGAGTAGGATTAGTGTGTATGTGTGTATGTGTTTTAGCCGTTATAGAAAAATTGAAAAGAAAAGAAGGAAAATATATAACATTATCTTTTTGATTTGTATGTTCTTGAACATTATAAAAGATGCATGGCATATACCAGTGCAAAATGTACCAAGATAAGTTAAGACATTTTTATAAGTTTGACAATATTGAATAATAATTTCGACTGGTGTATTATGAGAGGCAAACATCTAATAGCATGAGGAGAATTTGTTTTTAAAGTAAACATATTTTATACATGCTGACAAAATGTTTTCAACAAACATAAGATTTGAGTATTATGAGAGGCAAACGTCTAATAGTATAAGTTTGACAATATTGAATAATCATTTCGATTGTTGGATTGGATATCTTGTTTTGTTGTATGCTGTTATGTTGAGATATGTGTTTACTGGTTATGTGATTAGATTGGTAGATCTGTATGACTACTTGTGTTGTTGATTATTATGATAATGTTTATATCGATATGTTATGATTGTGGTTTACTGGGCTGAGGCGGACCAACTAACACTGAAGGCCAAGACACACAGGGCGGTTCGGATAGACTGAAGGCATGTGGGCGGTCCAGTCAGGCCGAAGGTCTAGAGAGCGGTCCTGATAGTCTGAAGGCCCGGTGAGGCGGTCCAGTCATGTTGAAGGCTCTGTATGCATGTTGTTGTTTGTTATGTTTGTGGTGGTACTTTGGGGAAACTCACTAAGCTTCGTGTTTACAGTTGTTTGTTATGGTTTTAGGTACTTCAGATGATCGGGAAAAGCAAAGGCGTGATCGTGCACATCTTTCGGATTTTATGATATTGGATTTTCGGGATACTCTGGTTTACGAACTATACTTTTGAACAACGTTTTTGTAAACAATTATTAACTTGTGGTTGTTTTGGAAAAAATAAAAATTTTACTCTGATTTTCGGGATGTTACACATTCACTCACTCGACCCCAAACCATTTATATTTTTATAAAGTAGATATAATTTTATTATTAGTATATATGATTTCAATTTTTTTAATATCATATGTGATATTACAAATAGGAAGTTTCTAATTCATAACATTAACCTAAAATACCTAATAATTCAAATTCAAACGCAAAGTTGATGTATATTTGTATGTGTACACCTCTCTCTCTCTCTATATATATATATATATATATATATATATATATATATATATATATATATATATATATATATATATAATGTGAGGATACACACCCAGACATCCATAACACACAATATGGGTGTAACATGATACATTGTTGTTATTTTATATGTTAGACACGTTTGACAAAACTAACTAGTAGTCAGTGGTTAGTAGTTGAAAGCTGAAAGTTGTAATTTTTAATTACGAAGAAAAGTTCAACAAAAATAGATTTTAGCTCTTAAATGTGTAAACTTAGATAAAAACCAAAAGCTAAAAGCTCTCAAAATCTACTTGAATTAACTGACTGGATTATGAGTTTTTTTTGTTTAAAATAAAAACGAAAAGTTTCTACTATTGAACAAAGTTTTTTTTTTTTTTTTTTTTTATATATATATATTTTTTAAAAGCTACCAAAAACTTCATGCCCAACACGCCCATATTTCTTAAGGATATTATTGCATTGTTATACAACTTCATTTCATAATTTGCTCTTACGGATGCCTACGATTAGAGGTGTTGATCGGGTAAAATTTTCGGGTTTTTGGTAATCCGAGTCGGGTAATTCAGGTTTTTCATATTAAAAAAATTACCCGTTACCCGACCCAAATTAAATTCGGGTTTGGGTAATTCGGGTAGTGGGTCGGGTTTGGGTAATTCGGGTATTACCCGATTTTTTTTAATGGCACCTAAAAATAAATTTAATGAAATAAATATGTCGTGCTCAAACTTTGAACATTAAGATTTTTTACTCAATAATATTTGAGATATCAAGTATTCAAAGGTAGTGATTAGATTTAATGAAAAAATCTATAGCAATTGTGCTCAAGAGATGTTAGATGAATATTCAAAGGTAGTGATTAGATTTTCTTTCTTTATGTTTCTTATTATTTGTTAGTTCTTCTATATGTATGTTTGTTTGTTATGCTATAAACATACAAACAAACTATCTCAAATAATTACAATCCATAGCTACAAAGTTCACTAAAACCAACTGAATTTAATTCTTCAATAGCTGAACATTTACTTATCAAATTAGGAGTAGTCGAATAAAATATTAATGGTAGTTTAGTAATATTAGAGATATAAGGATTCAAATACTTTTCTTCTTCAACAACACAAATCTGTCAGATAATCTTCTTGTGTAGTCGAATAGAAACATAAACAAAATACTAACCATACCACAAGCACGAGCCAGCAAGTCAAATAGCAACAAGTATGAAGACTATCAAGTTAGGACGAAATTTAACAGTATATTCAAGAATGAATCATTTCCCAAATTGAACAGATACAGGGCCATGCCGCCATGCCAAGCATATTCAAGAATGAATCCCAATAAAGTGTAAACTGTAAAATAAAAGCAATTGGTTGTTATCACTTATATTCAAGCCAAGTTTGAAATCCAAATCTGTGATTTTTGCCTGGAGGTGACGAGCTGATGGCTGCAACGCTGCGACAAGCCGACGGGCGACGACCACCTAATGACCGGCGAGGCGGCGACGAGCCGACGACCAGCTGACCGACGAGGAGGCGGGGACGACCATCTGAAGTTGATTGATCGGTGATGAACGAAGAGCGGACGAGGGTTTTTTTGACGTAGAGAAAATAGAACGAGGGAGCTGGGATTTGGGAATCGATCACGGATAAACTCATAAAGGAATAAAGGAGATTGGGCCATTCATTATTTGTTAAATATATTTCGGGTAATCGGGTATACCCGAAACCCAAAAAACTTACCCTTTACCCGACCTGAAAAAAAATCGGGTTACTCAAATACCCGAAAAAATTAACTTAATACCCGATTTACTAGATACCCGAAAAAATCAGGCGGGTAATTCGGGTAACGGGTATTTTCGACAGGGCTACCTCCGATTAACCTCTTCACCTTTTTGTTATATAAACAAAAAATAATAGGGATTGTTATGACAATTCTTTAAATTAGTAGTCGTCTTTTGTCAAGTACACAAATACCCTGGGTGTACAGTGTACTACAAGTTAAAACTTGCGATCACAAGGTTTTCCCAAAACCCTTGCTAACGTGCGCAGTTATGGCTCTAAAATGAGCCAAACATTCTTCGCACTTCGCACAGCTTCACAATCGCATCAATGGCTTCCTTTATACATCCGCTTCCTGTCCGACTTCAGGTTTTTCCTTCAAAATTCACTACTTTTACAGCCAAAAGCTTCGTCTTTCGACCCATAATTCGCCTAAAACCTTCTCGAATTTCCCTCACTGTACGAGCTCGCTCTGCCCCCACACCGTCGCGGCCTCCGCTGCCGGAAACCCAGCAATACATTCTTGATATTCTGGACGGAGAAGATGTGAAGTCTATACCATGTGTGAGAACCTACGAGAATGACTTGGGTCGGCTGACTGTTGTTGGAGATGTTGACTTGGAACAGGCCCTAACAGCAGCGGCCGCTGACGGTGGTGAGGCTGCAGACGAACACATTGATCATGGTTTGGATGTCATGGTGGCGGAGACGGTGTTCCCAGGCCAATCGGATGAACACAGCACCATCTCCACCAGACTGGTTAGTTAATAGTTACCCTCCCTAAGCCATTTTTAGTGTTCAACTATTAATAAACGAATTTATCGTATATACTGATAATGGAATGGTGTTAATAACAAAAAGAAACTGTTTTTACTGTGAATTGTGATCTTTCCTTTTGACAGTTTTTGCCATCTAGAAAAGTGAAAGAGAGAGCTAAAAGTCTCAGAGATTATCTAACTGAAGACATGCTTTCAAGCACTACATCTACAAATATACTAGCAATGACATTCAGACAAGTGACTTTGAGACAACTTTGGAGTTTTGAACTTGTCTTGTTTACACCAGGAACAACAAGAAATATGAAAGATCTTGCAAACCCAAGAGAGGTTAAAGTTTAAACACCCTTCTCTTTTCTCTTACTCTTAATCCAAACAGGTATCTAGACAGAAGGGTATAACAGTCCTTTCCCATTAACAGGTCTCTGCTTCCTTCACCTTCGGTTCCTCAGATGTACAAGCCATATCCAAGCTTGCAGAAGTGATTTCCGTTTCTGCCCTTGAAAGCACCAAAAGGGATTTTCTTGATAACTCATTAGGCAAATCATCATTTAACATATTCCATCTATTTCATAAACACGAACAAATCATATCACAAGATTCTTCTGTCATCTTATACAAAGTACACGAGGATGAAGTGGTTGAAAGTGCTAAAACTTTGCTTGAAAAGTTTAATTCAATGAAGGAAAGTTATAAACCTAAAGAAACAGCATTGAAGTATAATTGGTGGCCATGGTCTGTGTTTTCTAAATTAGAAAAAATTGGTGGACATGAATTTAGTTCATGGGTAAGTGAATATATTCCTGCTTACAGATTGCAAATCAAGAGTGACAAATTACAAGATTTGAAGTTTGAAGGATGGAAAGAATCTGCTAAAAATAGGTGGGAAGTCCTTCTTACCCACTCCCAAATGGTATTCTAGTTCTTCCTTTATTTTGTGTATATTTATTTTGGGATAAATGCAAAGATATAACTTAGTTTTATATTCAGGTATGTTTGGCTAACATCTTGGATATGTATTATGAGGATTTATTCACACTTCCAGATAAAAAATTGCCATACAATGCAGCTTCCATGACTACTAACATGCACATGAAGAAGGTACTAAAGTTGTTAACTTTTCTTGGATAGATATTTTATAATCTACACTTAAATTACATGTGATCTTTCAAGGTTATGATATTGATATTGTTGTTGCAGAAAGGCAACTCTTTTGTGAAAATGGTATCTACTTTCATCATAAGTGGATGCTTAATTGTTGCAATTAGTGTAATGGGTCGGATCTTTTTGCCCCGTTTTCAAAACGGGCAAAACCGTTTCAGAGGAAATCAACAGCCCCAATCATCACATACTGATTCAATCCGTCTTTGGTCCATGGATCCTACTATGGTATGTAATTATATATGCATATGATGCTTATTATTTGAATGGGCATTTATGTCTTTTGTGTTGATAGTTGGAAGAGGTTTGTATTTCAATTTTGAAGAAAGTTGAAGCGGTTTATGGGTGGAGTGGAGAGATAAGAAAAGAAAGTGGTGGTGGTGTATCAACAGGTCAACTCCCTGATTACCTAACAAGATTGATTCAAGTTGACAACAATAATGCCACATCAGCATCATCCACTCTCACTCCAACTGATAAAACTGACCATGATTTGTTATTAGCATCTGGACATAAAGTCGCAAGTTATCAGGTTTTCTTTCTTATCTTTTAATCCAATAAAAAAAAACTATAAGCCAGTGTTTGGTAATGATGGAATCAGGGAAGGAATGGAATGGAATAACTCATTCCATTCCACCCAAAAAATAGATATTGACATGAGCTGAAATTTCAGATTGTGATATCATCAGAAGGGAAAATAGTAGGATTCCAACCCACGAGCCTTCTTGCTGTTAATAATTGGGCATCAAATCCTTTGACACAAGAGTTATATGGAGGGAGAAAACTCTCACCAGGTAAGATGATCAATTACAAGTCTTTAATCATTTTTTTTTATTAAATGTTTTATATTTATTATTCTTTTTAATTATTGGAGCAGGTTTCTTTGAGTCTTCATTGAAAATCAAACAGCCGAAGGAGGTGGTTTTGTTAGAGTTGGTGATGTCAGAAATTAGTGGGTCACATTTTGTGTTGGTTAGACCGGTTAATGTGGAGATTTAATTTTTTTATTAGGAAAAGTTAACATTAGTAAGTATAGATGTTGAGCTAATTGGATCGATAAAATAATAAAACTATGAATAAATGGTTGTATTGTTCTTTGATTTAATTCATAAAATTAGATGCGTATTAGAGGGAAGTTATTATGGAGTGAAATAATTCGATTGCATAAAGAAAGATTGAACCAAAATGGTGTTCCTTATTAATAAGGGACGATGACATGAAATTAATAATTTTAGTTTTGATTTACAATTTTTTTTTTATGTTGTTAAATGACAATTTAAGCATTGCATCGAGTCAAATATTCTCTTGGTATGATGGTATCAACCTTTATATGAATATGATGCAAATAGTGGAATATAAAGAATGAAGACTATGATTGATACACACTAAATGTACATAATACTTTTGTTTTTAGAAATTAGAATCCGTTGAAGGTAATAAAATCTCCAAACACAACAAATTTAGAAATGTATAAGAAGAAAAAGGGGACCATGAATATTATCTTTAACATCTGTATTATCAATCGTTCTTTTAAATATTCATTTTGCTTTACCATTTTATACCCTACAAGCATTGCACTCATATCCACTACCAATCACGTCACAATCTTTTCACAACTTATTCTGAAGATTTGACTACGTAAATGGTTAAATACAATAAATGACAAATGTATATTTTATTTATTTATTTTTATTTCTTCATGTCACAATATTCTGTTTTTAATTTTTTATTTAAGATAGTGTAATTTGAAAATCTAGCAAATTACTAAATTAGTATGTTCATTTAATTTCATATTAAAACAATATATATTAGAAAATGTATAGACTAATTTGTTTTTAAGTAACATTATTAATATAATAAGAAGATTTTTTATTGTATAATGTTATCATAGAAAAAAGAATAAAAACATAATGGTAATAATAAATAAATCAAAGTGAGTTTTTAGTTTATACATATAACCTGTAACCAAAAAAACTCTTAAAAAATTGCACATAAATTAGTATAATTTTTTATTTTATAAAAGTAGAAAAGTAGGATGCCCAAAACTAATGAAAACATTTCTTTCAAAATTTCAATAAAAATAAATAAATAAAGAAAATGAAAAATAGAATCAGATACTCTGTTTCAATTTGCGAAAAATCTACGGCGGTCAACCTTTCCACGTACACCACCCCTTGATGGCTTGATAGATTCTGTGTCCACAAGGCACAAACAAGCCCAACTGCGACTAGGGTTTCTTTCGCTTCTTTATTCTCCTTTCTCCAATACAGGGGAAAATTTATCCCAAATACCCACCGATTAAAGAGGGTGGAGCGAGCATTTTTCAAATTATTCAAAACTCTTGCTTCTTTCTTCTTCTTCTTACCCCATTTCTGATCGACTACTGTTAGCCTAATCAAGTATGGGGAGAGGGAAGTTTAAGGGCAAGCCTACTGGACGTCGCCAGTTCTCTACTCCCGAAGAGATGCGTATGTTTATATACTCATACTCTCCTTTTCTTTTCATTAATTTAGTTTTATGTTATTCGATTTCTATATGCAACTTTCTTACGCGGAATGGATCCGTAGTAGTCCGATTTAAGATATTCGTTCGGTTTCGGTGTTTGGTTTCTATAATCTATAGACCTTGGATTTGATTTGGGTTTCTGTTAAATCTATTAATTGTTGAAATAGGCGAATGAATTCATTTCGAAAAGGATAACCGGACTTTTGTTTCTTGATTAGGTTTTAATGTTTCCAAAAGGGGTTTTGTTCTTGGTTCTATGTAAATGATTAGGTTTTGTTCTTGTTGATTAGGTTTTAATGGTTCTAAAAGGGGTTTTGTAGTGAGATGAAACGACTAATTTTCTAACAGGGCAACAAGGTTTTTGGTTATTGGGATGCCACAATCATGAGGTGAATTAAAATTCATTGTAAAACACAGAAACAATTTATCTAATGATTTGTGCATACATAGAATACATACACAGTTACACACATAGTTAAATAAATAGTACAACTAATGTACAGACAATTGGTAAAATATTGAGTATTAGGTCAAATGGATGTTTATTCGTGTGACATGTTAACTAATATGATTTCTTTTATTGATGATTGCAGTTGCTGGTACTTCATCTCGACCTAGGACATTTAAAAAGGTAATTCTAATATTCCATTTCTTGATAAAGTGTCCAGTTTCTTAATAATTCCAAAGATATATACATCATTTTCTTTCTTCATCAGTTTTTTGATGGCATGATTTATAGTACAATAAGATGAGAAATGATTAACAACTAACAAAAAATAAAATATAAAAGAAGTTTCAGTAACAAAACCAACACCAAATAAGTTTTGTTATTCTAATGTTCTTGTATCTCCTTGTAATTGCCTTTTACAATTTCAATGCCAAATAGACTTTGAAGGGTATTCAGAAGATTTGATTTTTTGTTACATTTATTGCAAATACATTTATATACCCTGTGCTTCTGTTTTTTACATAGCTATTGCTTCATTTTTGGTTCCAAATAAGCATTGAAGGGTATTCTACTTGTTTCTTAGTGCTCTTCAGTGGCTATGGAGTCTTTGTTTATGCTTCCTCAAGATAATCTTGAAAAGAATGAATGAAATATTTGATTATTTCTGTTGAAGTGGGATCATGGTTTAAAAAGTCAAATTAAAAGATGTATTTATAGTTGTTGACTAATGATTGATTCTTCAGGAGGAAGCTGAAGTTGAAGAGGAAAGATCTGATGAAGAATCTGAAGAGTCATCTGAGGAAGAATCTGAAGTCAGTAAACTTTTACTCTTTTTTCTTTGCGAATATAATCTTTGCTCATACTCATAATCATTTATTCATAATTATAAATTATAAATTCTGAGTTTTGCTTATTCTTATTTTCTTTGTACTCTATAGAAAAAGAAAGGAACCCAAGGTGTTATTGACATTGAGAACCCTAATATGGCTAGGCCCAAGACCTTGAAAGCAAGAGATGCTGATGTAAGAACACATTAACACTTAAAGATTTATATTTCCTGTTTTTATTTATTTTTATTGTTTTTTTTTTTTTGAAATTTATTGATCCATTCTGCTGTTTTCTTGCTTTTCAGCTGGATAAAACTTCTGAACTTTCCAGACGTGAAAGGTCTGTAAATTTTTTTTTTCGCCATTCATTTCAAGTGATGGGTGGAAAGAGTTCAGCTCTATTCTTTCTTTGTTTTTTTTTTGTCAAAAAAGACCAAAATACCCCCATAAGAGATGAGTTATCTTAATATCATGTTTTATTTACAGAGAAGAAATTGAGAAACAGAGGGCTCATGAAAGGTATATGAAGCTGCAAGAACAAGGGAAAACAGATCAAGCAAAGAAGGATCTAGGTAATAAGCATTCTCATATCATATCAATAGTTGATTGGGATGAGGGCATTTTTGTCCATTGACATCAGTCTAATGTATGCCAAATACAGTACAACCCTGTCCTGTCCTGTCCTGTCTTGTAACTTTTATCCATTCCATATGTTGTATTTGCAGAGCGGTTGGCTCTTATCAGACAACAGAGGGCAGAAGCTGCTAAGAAACGAGAAGAAGAGAAAGCTGGTAATCTTCTAAATCTTTTTATATTTTTTTTCAATGAAAATGAAAAAAAAAGATAAATATGCTTGTATTTTTTTTAATATAAATGTGGTGTTGTGTTTTCAGCCAAAGACCAAAAGAAGGCGGAGGCAAGAAAATAAGTGGGAATGAAAGTGAAAGTGAAAGTGAAAATGGTAGTCTTTCATATGATATTATGGTTATGGTTATGGTTATGGTTATGATTATGGTTTAGTTGGTTGGTTAATTTGAAGTTGAATCTTTCTTATATGCCTATGTTGGCCATTGTGGGGATCACTCTTTAACCATTTTATTAACTTTCTCTTATTTACTTTAAAACTTATAAGCTCGTCTATTAAACCCAAACTTTTTATTCGCACAAGCTTTTATTTGTTGTTGAATTTCATGTGTGATAAGCCAAAGATCAATTTATTATGTTTGGACTTCTGAAGTCAAAATGACGATTACAATGTATGAAAAAAAGTAATATGAATTACAAACTTATGGCTTTCATGTTATATCATGTAACCTTTTAGAAAATATATCAAAATAATCTAATGGATACATTTTCTGACACCTATAACTTGCAAACTATATTAAACTTTGCGATTTTGAGATTTTATTTGAAGATAGATGTCAACACTCACCACAGTTGGTTAAAGCGTATGGTGCGTATGTTGGAAGGTGTGCGTTTGAAGTCATGTTTTGCAAAAAATGTTTTTGTTTGGTTGAAACTTGAAAGTTAAAACGGGCTATTGAGTTTCAACTTACACTCTTCAACATAAAGACTTTACACATTAACTACATCCATCTGCAAATAAAATCGAGTTCAATGTATTTCACTAGCTTGTTTGAAAGTTAAAAAAAAAATGAAGGAGATTAGTAGGGTTCGAACTCATGCTTTCCAACATAATGACTACCTTTAACAGTTGTCTCATGACTATAAATTTTAATATGTTTGGCAAGTCATATGCGCCAGTAAAAGTATATATACAAATTAAAAAGGCTTTTTAGCGGGTTAGATTTATTTATTTATTATCATTTTTTAAACGGTTAGTTATGATTAGAAGTTACTATAAGTAAGTTAGTATAATTCGCCAATCTCTAATTTAGAGCTCGGGGCCTTTAATCTAATACACAAAATCTATATCAAGTGGGTTAGTTCCGGATGCATTTTAGCCGGTTAAAATGTTAAATGGTTATATTTTATGATATTTAGTGAAAATGAGGGTATGGTTGATATTGGGGATTATGGTCATTTTAATGTTTTAGTTAATAACTCTTTTTTGCATCATTAAATTAAATGAAAATTTGCGTTTAATAGACATAATTGTCTAATGTCTGATATTTTCAAGTTCAATTGAAAGATTATTGTTATTTCTTCTAATTGAGCTGTAAGAAAGTTAGTGGAGACTAATCATAACGTCTTTTTATTTTATAAAGACAGTGATATTTCACAAAATCGATTTTTGTCAAAATAAGTGAATTTGTATTTTACAAATTACAACAATTTTTTAAAGAAATATCATTTCATAATAAGACAACTTTTATTT